GGTCGATGGAAAGACAGACTGCAACTCCCATGCATGGCCTTTGCCATCACGTTGTAGGGTTTGCACTGATTCAATTCTCCTTAGCTTCCTTGGTAGCAACGTTCGCTTACTCGACCTTGTCCTCTGACTTGTCGGGCTCCCTTAAGCGAATATGAGCTCTAGAGCAGTCCAACTCTCCAGCTGCTTCGATCATACCTCTGCATGATCAAGTCCCTCCCATGGAACTCAGTGGTACTTGCATGCGAACTTTTCCCTTGGTGGAACACAACCCTCATATGCTGATGACCAAGGTTTTCATCCGATGCAAAATTCGATGCACGCCTGGAAGACCCGCCTCTGCGACACCATGACCTTCACTCCTTGAATCCATAGCCCTTCTTGTCGTTGTGTTGTTCACCGAAGTGGAGCTTCCAGTAGCTCCCGATCATACCTCCGTATGATCTAGTCCCTCACGGGACTATGTCGTGTGTATCGTATTGCCACGAACTGTTCCACCACGATCCGCTGCACCATGTCGCCTCCTGGTGACATCTCTATTGCATTCTGATCCTTGTGGGATGAACTCGAATTGTGAACCCTCAATGTGTGGCCTCTACCAATACATCGCAGGGTCTCTTCCACCTTCGATTTTGTTCGCTCCTTTGACAATCAACCTTCATCCACCCACTCTTGGGTCACACCTAGATGAAGCACCGCTCTAGGACAGTTCGTCGCCTGGTAGCTCCCGAAGTCCACCAACTTCACTGTAATTTGTGAACCATTGTCTGGATCCTGGGCCTCTACCCCTACCAGCACAATCTTCGCTGTGCACCGCTTCCTTCATGGCAACTTGAATGGCAACACTATGGCATATTCTTCAAGAGTACCCACATCTACGTCCTCTTGCCCCGTGCTAAGGCCTTCTGAACCCAACTTCGTCTCCGCAAATTGAATCGCCTTAGTTCCTCCATCAAATGCTCCTCCGAGATAAGGTGCATGTGCCCAGAAGCTCATTTCGTCTTTGGCACCATGCAAGATGAGTCCACTTCGTCAGAATGAAGGACCCATGGAATAACATGATTCTACTCTTGCCTCTGCAAGAGTTCATGTCCTTGACCTCTGTCTAAGGAAAGCACTGTGCCTCCGCTCCATGTTCCAACTTTTATGCTGGCTCCCTTCATGCGGCTTGGGTACTTCGCCGAGTTACACCCAAGTTGCTCCGCTCCTCGTTTTTGCATTGAGTCGATGGTGGCCCTCGTGCCCACCATTCCACGGGTCAGCCCTCCCTTGAGTCCGATCTCCATATCGACTCCAAGTGTGCCTTCATTTGTGTTGCTTTGGGTCGCTCCCCCACTTGATTTCGCAATGCATCCACCAATGCATTCTCTCGGGCGAGATCATGCAACAACACCTCGCTGCTTGCTCAGTCCATTGAGCTTCGTGGAGTTGTTGTTTGTTGAGGTACTCATTCTCAACTTGTGAGGTCCGTCCCACATATTCCTCCCTCTGGAGAGCCGGGAGTTATCCCTCCTGGATAACTATCTCGTTGGAGCAACATCTCTCTTCATTTCGGAGACCACCATCCCCTTGGACTACTCCGTTCTACTGAACAAACTGTGCATTGTTCTGCCTCCTGCAAACGCAGTTGCTAGATTGCGACTCCACGTCAATACAGCCCCCGCTGCACCCCTCAAGGCTTAGCAACATGCTGAACTCGTTGCACACTTCAGCCTCCTACGGACGTATCCTTCACATGCTGAAGAGAAAGTTTTAATGCTCCATGGCGCCGAGTTTCGGTCGCCTTGGGATGGCCGCAAACATTCCATCGTCCACATACAAGCCCATGCATGAGTACCGAATTCTTTGAGTTAGCAATTCCCCTACCTCTGTGAGCTTTGCACAACTCTTTCAATCGCTGAGCAACTCATTCCACCTTGCATGGTCTCATCCTTTACCAAGCGCCTCACTTACCTTGAGCACCATCAAGTATGGTTGTCAACGTTGAGCCCAAACTCAACCATCCCAACCTTTGTGCGCTCCGCATTCTTCCAGGCTTGCCTGTTCTCATGGTGCCTCTTGCGCGAAGGGTTGGCCATTCCTCTGAATGCCAATCTCAGATGCCCGCTCCTCCGAGCGACTCCTTTTCCCTACATCTCCATGCTCGTTTTCCCTCAAACGATCGCGCGTGTGCTGACTGCCCTCAACGCAGCCCCGCTAGGTCCCCCACATTTGCATGCTAAGTGTTTCTATGAGTGCTTGTCCCGCTCTGATACCATCTGTCACGGACTTAGCTGGTTTTGCCTAAGTCGTGCGGCACCCTTGCGTGTCCGTCCGCAAAGGTCAGCCTCCCCGAAGCCTCTCATTGTCCCTTAGGATCAACGAAAGAGAGAACGAGTTAGAGAGAACGCCTCAATCGGGATCCACAAGCAAACATCTCTGAAAAACACTTCATAGACAATGCAAATTACAAACTGAACAATTGCACAACAAAGGGTAAAATGATTCATTACAGACCGAAAATCTCTCACACGTGTCCACATGACACAACCTTTATTTATAAGCCTAAAGAGGCCACCAACCCAACTAAAATGGGACTATTAAGTCTTCGGCCGTCCCTCTACATGCTGTACAAAGCATGAACATACCAAAGGACACGGACATACATAAGCATTACATCAAACGTCTAGTTTAAAAGTTTGTCCGTGAAGATATGACACATCAAGAGATTCAATTCAAACATTAGTCCCAGAGAATTGAAGCCAGTAATTATGATCATAGAAAAAGTCAAAAAAGGAAGCCTAAAATAATAGAGAACAATAAAAGTAGAACCAAAGCATTTTCAATATATAAATGACAAGTGGCACTTATTGAACAAAAATAATAAGGTAACATATTGGAACCATGTTTATATCAGAATCATTGACCATCCCTTTGCTTATGGATTTAAAACCAAACTAAATGAAGAACAAATAACATCAATAGTGAAAAAGGACACCGAGAGAATTGAGGATGGTTGCATATTTGGCTGAGGAAGAACAGCATCTCACATCATTGTCCAGACCATCATACAAGGAAAAACGAACATTGAGAATACTGAACTACTCTCTCCACTTATGTTGTTGGTCATCTTATTTCCTATCCCTTCCAGTGTAGAAGATTTAGAAGCACTTTCTGTGCACAATCGAAGGGCCGGACTCATCGTATTCTGCCTTAGCAATCCACATCTGCAAAGGATAATAGTTTGTCAAGAGTAATTCCAGTTCAGACTTATAAGATATTAGAAGAAAGAAAGGAACATTGGTTGCATATCTTATAGCATTTAATCCCCAAAGAATGAGCAGGCAAACTATTATAAAGTTGATAGTAGAATAGACCTGTTGGAAAGTGCTAAGGGATGCCAAGATAGATCCTCCAATCCAAACACTGTACTTCCTTTCTGGTGGAGCAACCACCTTGATCTTCATGCTGCTAGGTGCGAGTGCAGTGATCTCCTTGCTCATCCTATCAGCAATGCCTGAGAACATGGTGGATCCTCCACTCAGGACAATGTTACCATACAAGTCCTTCCTTATGTCCACATCACATTTCATGATGGAGTTGTATGTAGTCTCATGTATGCCTGCAGCTTCCATCCCAATCATGGATGGCTGGAAAAGAACTTCAGGGCAACGGAATCGCTCAGCACCAATGGTAATAACCTGCCCGTCGGGTAGCTCATAGTTTTTCTCCACCGATGAGTTGGTCTTTGCCGTCTCCAGCTCCTGCTCATAGTCAAGAGCAATGTAAGCCAATTTCTCCTTGATGTCTCGAACGATTTCACGTTCTGCTGTGGTGGTGAAAGAGTAACCACGCTCCGTCAGAATCTTCATGAGGGCATCAGTGAGGTCACGACCTGCCAGGTCTAGACGAAGAATTGCATGCGGGAGTGCATACCCTTCATATATAGGAACTGTGTGGCTGACACCATCACCAGAGTCGAGCACAATACCTGTGGATGTTAATATCACATTAGATAACTGTTTTAATCCACCCTAGCATAATTCTGCCTCTTAGCATTGAATATTTTTTTCCATATATACTATCTTCAAGCATCTTTAACGTTATCCCAGCTTGTATGTATATATCTAGCTCAGCTAATTCATGTTGTAAAGATGGTTAATCATTGCACATAGGTGAATGGCTCAGCTGTTCAAAATATTAAAGATACTGCATATGGCACAGAGGTCACTGCCTTGATGGACAAAAGATAATTAAATGAACAGGGCTATATGGTTTATGGACATGCACAAGCATGCTCGAGCGAGTTCAAGATGAACTAGATCAATCAAATAGATCTTTGTTTGTATGAGACGGCAAATTTTACTAATATGCTGCCTCAAACTGTAGCCTAATCCCTTTCATAACGCATCCACACTCTCCCAGTTGATCAGTTAATCTTCTCCATGGACTATATAACAATCTATGAACCACAATTATAGATGTCTTTTTCTTACACTGAAAACTAAAACAAACATAATATGCAGAATCCATAAAAGTGAACCATTCTGGAGTGACATATTATAGGTGAAAAAAATGTTACCTGTTGTTCGACCACTAGCATAAAGAGACAGCACGGCTTGGATGGCGACATACATAGCTGGAGCATTGAAGGTCTCAAACATGATTTGAGTCATCTTTTCACGATTAGCCTTGGGGTTAAGAGGTGCCTCAGTGAGAAGAACAGGGTGTTCCTCAGGCGCCACACGCAGCTCATTGTAGAAAGTATGATGCCAAATTTTCTCCATGTCATCCCAGTTACTCACGATACCATGCTCAATTGGATATTTCAGTGTCAAAATACCTCTTTTGGATTGAGCCTCATCACCAACATATGCATCTTTCTGGCCCATGCCCACCATCACACCAGTGTGCCGTGGTCGACCCACAATGCTAGGAAAAACAGCCCTTGGCGCATCATCTCCAGCAAAACCTGCCTAAAGAATGAAAGAACACAAATTTACATCATTTAGTATCGACAGCCATGTCAATGGTATTTTATGAAGAATAAGGTTCTCTTAGTTTCAGAATGGTGATCAGTGAGGAGAGAAAAAAAATGGAAGCCATTAACATTGTTTTAAACATCCCATAGCTCTAATACAAAATCATGTGCCAAGAAATGAATCATGTCATTGATTATTGTCGGGAATAAGGCAAGCTATACCTTGACCATTCCAGTTCCATTGTCGCACACGAGAGGCTGAATATCTTCACCATCTGCCATCTTCTACCTCTGAAAGGAAAACGGAAAGCCAGGTTGAGAAGAAGAGACTTATATCAAATCAGAAAGAACCCAAGAAAAATTTACATGTGCAATTTATGTAGCAAACATAGGTGATAAGTTCAGAGTATTGTTAGATCCACTAGTCATTGACTTGATTCCTATGTGCCGATACTTGTTTATATCTCAATATAAGTTCCAAAATTAACAAGAAACTGCCAAAATTCTAGCAAAAAAGTTTCAGTATCCAGTGATAGTTGCTTGCAAGATGGATTCAATAACCATAATAAGCAGCTTCAGCCAAACAAGGCGACTCATTTAAACTACATTTCACGGTTAAATAACAACAATATTCTACAATATCTGACGAATAACCTCAATCCCCGATCTAATTTAAGAGTACTAATAGGAATCGGAAGTCTACTATGCATAACATAATAAGAGGGACAAATTATTCCCGACTCGAGTGTCATTTTCTCGCACATCGCAATGAAAAAGTAGATAAAGGAGAGATGAAACCAGGAAATCCAGAAATCAAAACGGAGTGGGATCAAGTTTGTTGATTCTTACCACCAAGAAATGGACAGGCAGGGAAAAATAATGATGCAGCGATCTCCGAGTCTAAGATTTCTCCCTGCGTCTCTCCGACCTTGGGGCTCTTAAGCTTGCTTGCGTCAAGGGACGGCGTTTGGCATCGAAATAGGCGGGCAAATGCTGGCGCGAGGTGGGATGGTAAGAAGCCCGAGTCGCGCGCTGCGGAGGTTGGAGCGTGCCGCCCGGTTCTTCCGCCCACGACCCGGTGCGTTCGGGTGGCAAACCGGTTCGGAAACCCACGGCTTGGCGTCTCATAAACACGAACCCGGCCGACGGCGCGTTTCGGTTAGATGAGGAATCCGCGTACTAATGCCGACCCTCCTAATCCACTAAAATTATATTTGAATATACTTAATTGAATTAATTTGGATATGTGTATGAAAATAAATATCTGAGTTCATTTTGAAATGAATTCGAGTACTCTGTTAATTATGTGTTGAATATATACTTGATTGAATGTTGGACTTTGGACAAGCATAAGTTCATATCAGATTTTTGGATCAACGAACTGCGTCAATGTTCCATGCCAAACAATATAAATGAATTAATGGCATAATACTTGTAACTACGTGGACGTACGAGTTTTACCCATCCCATGCGACTTCTTCGCAAACCTGATTAATGGGGCTCCGCTCGCGGGTCCCACGGTTGAGCTTTGTGAGACAATGGCTTAGGACGGTTCAGGATTGTGGGGCAGAAGTTTGGGGACATCAAACATTATCCCAGAAAGTGATGAGGGTGATGACATGCGCGACCGGAGAGACAGCATAGGCGAGCAGGTCACCGACTCATTTGACACGTCAAACGCGCGACCGTTCCCAACTTCGCTCGTCAGAGTCAAACTCTGAGACCGCTTCTCTTCCGCGGGCTCACCACGTCGGTCCTTCAACGGTCAACGTTCAAAGCCAAACCAACCTCACCATCCGTTTCAATACCCACCCCCTTCAAATGCCTCCCAACTCTTCCCCTACACTCTCGTCTCATACCATTCCCCTTCTCTTCTCCTCTCTTCCTTCTTCGATCCTGATTTGTCTCAGCAGAGAGCAGCGAACAGTCAGTTAAGCTCCATACGGCCGCCTTCTCTCTCCATGGCCTCGGTGACCGCACGCATGTCTAGCTCAAGGATTCCCTCTGTGAAGAGGATTCCCATCGCCAACTCGATGGCGGAGAAACTGATTCCCGCCGCCTTCCGGTGCCCCATATCTCTCGATCTCATGAAGGATCCGGTGACGTTGCATACCGGGATCACATACGACCGTCGGAGCATCGAGGCGTGGCTCGAGCTCGGGAACCTGACGTGCCCAGTGACCAAGCAAGCGCTCGAGAACGAAGACCTCGTGCCGAACCACTCGATCCGGAGGATGATTCAGGACTGGTGCGTTGCCAACCGCTGCTTGGGCATCGAGAGGATACCGACGCCGAGAATTCCGGTGACCCCGACCCAGGTGTCGGACTTGCTGTCCGAGATCAGTGTTGCCTGCCGTCGCGGCGACAACGCACGGTGTCGCGAATTGGCCAGAAAGATCAAAGCTTTGGGCAGGGAAAGCGAGCGGAATCGAAGGTGCATCATCTCGGGCGGCGCCGGTCGTGTTCTTTCCAACTGTTTCAGCGAGTTGGCGGCTGAGTCATTGGAGAACCCCAGAGCAGGTGTCATGGATGAGATCCTTGCGGCTTTGGCCGCATTCCTCCCTCTTGATGAAGGCTCATATCTGCAACTCGCGTCACCCAAGCCTTTGGACTCCATCGTGTCTGTTCTCAAGTCCGCGGATTTGGAAGGAAGGCTTAATGCAGCCCTGGTGCTAAAAGAGCTCGCTTCTTCTTCGCCTCCGGACCGCATCGAAGTCGTCGCTAGAACAGATGGTTTGATCGAAGCATTGGTGAAACTAATCGAAAAGCCTATATCACCTCGAGCCACCAATGCCTCGATGGTGACCGCATTCTACTTGGTGGCCTCGAGCGAACGGATCGCAGCGAGGTTCGTGGAGATGGGAATCGTCTCCTTGCTTCTGGAGATCCTCGTCGACTCGGAGAAAAGCATGTGCGAGAAGGCGTTGGGAGTGCTGGATGGCGTCTTAAGCTGCAGCAGAGGCAGGGAGATGGCTAGTGCTCACTCCCTGGCAGTGCCGGTGCTGGTGAAGAAGACGTCTCGGGTCGCCGACATGGAGACGGAGTTCGCTGTGTCGGCCCTTTGGAAGCTCTGCAAGAATGACGACGAGGGAGAGCGAGTGGTGGAGGCGCTTCAAGCGGGGGCTTTCCAGAAGTTATTGCTCTTGTTGCAGGTTGGCTGCAAGGGAACAACCAAGGAGAAGGTCAGTGATCTGCTGAAGCTTCTGAATCGGAAAAAGAGGAGCTCGGAATGCATTGAAACAGTGGATCTGAGGGGCTTAAAAAGGTCCTTCTAATGGAGTAGATGATCACCATTTTGTAGACAAAGAGCACGTAGAATATCTCGATTGCGATCGATCCAATGTACAAAATTGCACACGATGATTCGCAGTGATGAATACACAAGTTAGCTTCTCACAAGGTGCAGAAATGTGCTCGAGTACTGCTGCTTGCTATCTTAGTTTGATGAATCCCAGAAGAAGTGTAGCAAGTATTTAAAGAGGTTGACGAACAACAGTTGACTTGACCGGTCCAAATAATTGACAGTTCGCCAAGTAGTCATAGTATTCGGACCGACTGCCATTTGAACGGGACATAATCGCCGTCCCGTTTGAATTCACATTCAACAACCATCAACTAAGACCCAGCTATATATGTGGTCAACGAACGCGACTTTTCTATTACGGCAAGCTGGGATTGACCTAAAAAATTGTCATGCAGAATACCATCCATGACACCCATAACTTCTCTAAAATAGGATGATCGATCACCGGATGGCGCCAAAAATACTTATCGATTTCTATGTGACAAACAATTATTATCCATGAAGACTTGAGCACTCATGAGAACAAAAATGTTCTGCAACACGAGTTCTTGTGTTGTAAGTGGGAAAAGTTTGATGCTCCTTCATGCGAAAGCAGAGACAAACCAATAAATACTCTCTTGGACAAAAGCCACCATTGTTGTTGGGTCTCTGTGGGTGGTCGAACCGTGATGGACCTTTTGGTTTTGGTTGGTAAGTACTTTTGGAGTCGTGATCATTGGTATTGGTATTGTTGTTTTGGGAGGATATGGAATCTTAATATCGAAAGACTTTTATAAGAAAAAAATTAAATTTTGATTGTTCAGTAAATATGTTATGTTTCTCTATACGTCTTGCTAGAGGAGGATGTTGGGCTGTCAGCCCATATGTTCGGCGCAAGATAGGTTTTATCAGCCCACAGTTCATCCCTTTTGACCTAATCCTAGATCAAAATTAGAGAGGTACGGGGGCTACGATTTTGGGACAGAAAAAAATTGTAGCAACTTGATTCAAGGAGAAGGAGAAAAAGATAAAAAAACAAGAGAAAGAAATGGAAGAAAACAAGACAACGTAGAGAGACTATTCTCAATCATTCAACAGTATTTTCATCTCAGGTTAGATCAGATTTATAGTATATTCTTGTTGTGATTACTTAGGGGAAATTTGGATATTGTATACAGTGACGTGACCCTTATATCCCAGTTATTCTCTTGTGATTGTTGCTAGGGTTTTAGGCAAGAGATTGAGATTTGTATATTCATTATTTTTATAATGGATTATCTCTAGTTTACCTTATGGTTTTTACCCTTCACATTGAAGGGGATTTTCATATAAATTTTGGTATTCTATTTTATTGTGATTCCATTTAATTCTGCTACGTATTATGTCATACTAGTATTTGTTCATATATAAAAATTTAGTTTCACTTTATACCCCATCAACTGGTATCAAAGCAGGGTTGTGGTGATTTAATTTTGTGTTTGAATATAGAGGCCAGTAGTGTTTCTCACATGATTAGTTTGAATGGAAACAATTGGATGATATGAAAATCAAGAATGGAAGATCTCTTGTAAAGATTTATATGGACCTTTGCAGGGGATAGTGGAAAACCCATAACTATGACAAATGATGAGTAAAAGAGGTTAGATAAAAAATCAATTGGGTTTATTCAACAATGGCTTGATGATAGTGTCTTTCACCATGTTTCTATTGAAATTTCTGCATATTCTTTTTAGAAAAAGTTGGAAGGTCTCTACGAAAGAAAAACAGTCAGCAACAAAGCTTTTTTGATCAGAAAACTTATGATCCTAAAATATAAAGAGGGTGCTTCTATTGCTAAGCATTTGAATAAAATGTAGAGTATTACTAACTAGTTATCTTATATGAAAATGTCTCTTGATGATGAGTTGTAGGCATTGTTACTTCTAAGTTCATTACTAGAAAGTTGGAAGACACTAGTGGTTTCTCTCAGTAATTTTGCGCTAGATGGTGTTGTGACTATGAGTCAAGTAACAAGCAGTTTGTTGAATGAGGAGTTGAGAAGAAAGAATTCAGCACCATCTCAGAATGATTCACAGGCACTTATCTCAAAGAACAGAAGAAGGTCAAAGTCTAGAAGCAATTCACGCATGGGTAAAAACAAGTCAAGATAAAAAAAGATATTATTTGCTATAATTATGGTGAAAAAGGACATTACAAGAATCAATGCAAGCAACCTAAGAAGAGCAAGAAAAAGGAAAAAGAAGTAGAGTCTATAGAGTCAAAAGATAATATCACAACTACAGTGTAGGGTGATGATTATTTGATTTTATCTCTTTTTGATGATATTTTTTCTTATGTGTCAGGATCTTAAGTGGATAATTGACACAGGTGCTTCTTATCATGCTACACCACGAAGGAAGTTTTTTGCTACCTACAGGTCTGAAAATTTTGGTGTTGTCAAGATGGGCAACTATGACACGACAAACATCATTCGCATGAGTGATATCCATTTAAAGACCAACCTTAGTTGCAAGTTGGTGCTTAAGGATGTGAGGCATGTGGTTGACTTGAGGCTGCATTTAATTTTAATTGGAAGGCTAGATGATGAAGACTATGATAATAGATTTCACAGAGGGCAATGAAAGCTCAGTAAGGATTCTCTTGTTATAGCTAGTGGAAAGAAATATCATACTTTGTACAGGTTGCAGGCTAAAGCTTATGGTGAGTAGTTAAATGCTACAGAGAAAGACTTCAACATCGAGTTGTGGTATAGGTGACTAAGACACATGAGCGAGAAGGGGCTGCAAGCTCTTTCCAAGAG